GGTAAAATTACTACAGGGCAACAAGACATGATAGCTTATTTATTTAATTGAGTCGAGAGGATCATAATTTTCTTTAAGCCTCTGAGCAAAATCTAATCTATTCTAGCACTCAAGAATAATACTCAAAGAAGCCACAGGGCAGAAAACAGTCCTGGAATGAGAACGGGGTCCTCTGCTTACTGGGCTGGTGGAGCGCAGGGCAAGGGGAAGGTTGGGGCAGCCTCCGATGATCCTTGTTCTCTACCTCTCGGCTTCATTCTCTTCCTGGCTCCGGGTCTCAGCGGCAGGACCTGCCCAGCCTCCACCACCCTTGCTCCTTGTCCTCTAGCATCAGGTAGGTTCAGCCAGTGGGAAACACTAGCAGAGGCCTGGGAGGTGGAGCGGGGGAGAGGTCAGGTGTTTATACTGCCTCCTCCTCTCCCCACTGTGGTTTGTTCCTCCATGGCCGTGATTCTCAAAGACTGGGCATCACATCAGCAACAACTGCACGACCGGGAGCTGGTTAAAAATGCAAGTTCTTGGCCCCTTGGTTCCAGGCGAACTCAGCAGTCTGTATTTTAACAAGCCCTTCAAGGTGATTTTGATTGTCTCTAAAGTTTGAGAGCTGCTGATGTATGGCCACAGTTCCTGGTGGGCAGACCTTCTTCTGCAGTCCCTGTGTTTACTAGACTCCAGTAACTCTGTCCCCTTCCTCTGTCCTTCAGGTATGGAGGTAGAAAGGGCTTCTCTGCACAGCTAGTACCTCCGTAGCTCTTGTCAGTTACCTTCTGCCTGCCTGTTAGTGCCTTTGTAAAATCTCTGCAGTAAAATCGTTTGAGTGCACTGCCCATCTCCAGCTGGGAATGTGACTAATGCCCAGAGACACCAACTGTGGGCAAAGGCTGGAAAGCAAAGTGTCCACGGATAACACTAGCGTGGTCAGATCAGGACAGCGGAGCAGGGATGCACGGGAGTGAGCCTCTACCTCGTGCCAGGCGTTTACCCATTTAATGCACACAAGCGTCCTAGAGGTAGGTATCTTTTGTGTTTGACTGAGTCAACTGAGGCTAATAGGGAGGATGGCTGTGTGCCTGGACAATGCTCATATAGAATAGAAACCCTCAATGGCCCAAGAGAGGAGCTGTGTTATGGGGATATCAGAGGAAGAAGGGGGGACTCCTAGGTGGGATCAAGGTGCTCTCTTTCCTTCTTGCCTGGGCGTGTCTTCCTGGCAGTTATAGCTTCTAATATCATGGTAACTATTGTGAGATGGAGTGATCACACACAAAAGCCCCACCCTGTGGTTTCTCTGCTTGTCTTGTCTACGGGGCTCAGTCCTGCATCACGGCTTCTTAACACTGCTCTTCCCCACCCCAGGAGGTGTTGTAGAAATCTAAAACAAGTAGGTTCAGAAATCTAAATGTTTTAGAAATCTTAGTCAAATAGGGATCCGCTTGCCTGGCACAGTGTTTGGAGATCTGCTGGAAAGGTTAGGGATGCTAAATATCTTACAAAGCCCGGGATAGTCTGGCTCAGTGGAAAACTGCACATGACTCTAAGGTGCCCTGCCTGACCTTCAAGTCAGTGAAAAACTTCTTTATAATGCTCTGAGCTGAAAACCTCATCCTGTTTTATATGTAAACACAAAAGTATTTTCTGCTCGATTTTAATAAACACTGAATTTTCCAGGGGTGCAACTATTGTGTAAATCAAAGAAGAATGTAGTTTGTTTTGTTTGGAACTTTGCCAAGGTTGTGGAAGGTGTTGGAAATCATGTCACTGTTGGCAACACTGTTGGACTTGATGCTCAATTCACCTTGCCTTAATGATCTACGTTTACAACTGCTGCACTCGTATTTATTTAACCCTGATTTTTAAATGCCAAAAATAGAAAAAGTGTTGACAGTATGTATGTTTTAAAGCAAACACAGCAGAGATTATGCCCATTTGCTAAGGAGAAGTGGGCAGTGAAGTGATAATTGGAGGATGAGCGCTTGGGAACTCTTTTAGGTAGAGAGGTTAAGGAATCCTTTCTGTGGAGGCGATGGATGCTGAAGCTGAAGGAGCACCAAGACCCAGCTGTGCAAAGGTCCTGCGGTCGAAACAGCTGGGCATGTCGTAGAAGTTGTCAAAACACCATGTACCCAGAGCACAAGTGAGCAATGGGAGAGAGCAGCAAGGATCAAGGCTTGAGAAGTGAAAAGGGGCCTTGAAACCACAGTAGGGATTTTTTTTCTCTGAGTAGTTACTGAGAGGTATAAAGCAGAAGGTGACCTGGCCCGAATGATCTTTTAAGAAGATGAGGCTGCTGGCCTGGGCCAGGGAAAGTACAGGATGAGCCTGGAATATTTTGCAGTGCCAGAAGGCAGAGAAGTATTTAGGAAGAGATGGGGAGTGTTTCAAAAGGCAAAGGAGCCAATTGAAAGAGCTCCCAATGACCAAATCTAGGACAATTGATACAATAAAATAAAGAGTGATAATATGAATTATATCTCATAGAATAAAATAAATAGGGGCGCCTGGGTGGCTCAGTCATTAAGCGTCTGCCTTCGGCTCAGGTCATGGTCCCAGAGTCCTGGGATCGAGCCCCACATCAGGCTCCCTGCGTGGCGGGAAGCCTGCTTCTCCCTCTCCCACTCCCCCTGCTTGTGTTCCTGCTCTCGCTGTCTCTCTCTCTGTCAAATAAATAAATAAAAATCTTTTTTCTTAATTTTTTAAAATTATTTTATTTATTTATTTGAGAGAGAGAGATTGAGAGACAGAAAGCATGAGAGGCAGGAGGGGCAGAGGGAGAAGCAGACTCCCCGCCGAGCAGGGAGCCCGATGCGGGACTCGATCCCGGGACTCCAGGATCATGACCTGGGCCGAAGGCAGTCGCTTAACCAACTGAGCCACCCAGGCGCCCAATAAAAATCTTTTTTAAAAAAAAAGATAGGGGCGCCTGGGTGGCTCAGTCGTTAAGTGTCTGCCTTCGGCTCAGGTCATGATCCCAGGGTCCTGGGATCGAGCCCCGCATCGGGCTCCCTGCTCGGCGGGAAGCCTGCTTCTCCCTCTCCCACTCCCCCTGCTTGTGTTCCTGCTCTCGCTATCTTTCTCTCTGTCAAATAAATAAATAAAATCTTAAAAAAAAAAGAATAAAATAAATACCCATGTATAATAAATAAATAAATAAATAAACAAACAAACAAATAAATAAATAAATAAAACGAACAGCTCTTCCTTACAGGAGATTAATTAATTAACATAGAAGAAATGATGGATGTAGAAAATCATCATTTGACAAACTCCATAGTAATAATCTGTGCACACAAGAATCATCAACCAATACTAAATTTAGTGGGCAAAAGCATGATAAGAAAGAGGACTGTTTGCATAGTCTCATAGTATCTCCCACAGGATTCTTTGTACAAAGGGAAAACTCGTGAATTTATGGAGGAGAAACCTGGAGACACCCCCTTAACCAAGTGATCACTAGTAATGGAAAAATCTACACCATGTGCTTTCTGATAAGATGACCAAGAAGAGCACACAACAACACCACTTCTGTGGTGTTCTTGCCAAAAATGCATAACTTGAAATTAATCATGAATGAACATCAGATAAATCAAAATAGAGAGGCATTCTACAAAATAACTAGCCTGTATTCTTGAAAGGTGTCAAGGTTATAAAAGACACAGAAAGACGGAGGAACTCTCTATAATTGGTGGAGACTAAGGAGGCAAGACAACTAAATGTAATATGGGTCCTGGATTGGATTCTGAAGCAGAAAAAGGACAGTGATGGGACACCTAGTGTAATTTAAGTAAGGTCTGTAGATTAGCTAATAGGATAGTATAAATTTCTTGGTGTTGGTGTTGATTATTCTATGGTTACATAGATGGGGAAGCTTGGTGAAGGGTACATGGGAATCTTTGTACTATTTTTGCAACTTTTTAATGAGCATGGAATTATTATAAAATAAGTTAGACACATCATAAATAAATACATTTAAAAAACCCCCCTCACATACATGTGCATGCACACACATATATACAAATTGGGTTGGCTGCTGTGTGAAGAATGGGTTATAGTGGGCAAGAATGAGGGCAGGAAAACCAATTAGGAGGCTTTTGCAAGTGAATAAAAGATTATATGTATATATATGTACACATACACACACACACTATATAACATAATATAGTAGTCTACTATATAGTAGTATACTATAGTATAGTAGTATACTATAGTATAGTAGTATATATGTATGCTATATATACTATATAACATAAATGTATATATATAATTATATATTATTATATATAATCTCCTTATGCCAGTTACTACATTATCTTGATTACTATAGCTTTGTAGTAGGTTTTAAAATTGGGGAGTGTGAATCCTCCAACTAAAATTTATTTTAAGGACAAAGCCAACAAAGACTTATTTATGAATTTGATAGGCAGTATGGAAATATTACAACCTTTGGGACTTTTTTGGAAACTTTGCCCTTTGGAAACTGTGTTGGCCAAAAAAGACCCTATCTTCTTCCTGGTGGCTCTTTGGGGGTCACAGGAGATCAGCCATTTCCTCTAGGTGGATGATCCTGAGGAGGGTCACCTTTGCAGGCAGCCAGCATGGAGAAATTACAGATCTTGTTTCCCTGTTGTTTAGAGAGCTTAACAGGAGAGAACAAGTGCTGTGTAATATTGCAGTGTTGCCCAGTTGTTGCTAGAAACCAATCCCAGGGAACAATGCATGGCAGTTCTGTGTTGTGGATTTAAGTGGAGCTACTCTGTTCGGTATGGTAGTCCCTAGTTGTATGTAACTACTGAGCACCTAAAATGTGGTTAGTACAACTGAAGAACTGAATTTTAATTTCATTTAATTTCAATTTATATTTAAAAACCGAAACTTGGCTCAATTATTAGAAAACGTTTAAGTATATTTAGAAGAATTTGAGTATATGATTTACTTTTTCAACTGTGAGTTTCATAAAATATAGAGATCAAGTATTTCTGATAAAAATTGATCATGAGGCACCGGAGGAATTGGAGAATGGAGAAGCAACCCAGAGAGCAAGCGGTCACCGAGCCCGCGGACTCCGGAGCGGGAGGCGAGGAAGGCGGGTCACCACAGGTCACCGGCGCCCAGACGGCGCGTCCCGAGGACCGCTTGACCCTGCTGCTCAGGCTGAGAGCACAGACAAAACAACAACTCTTGGAATATAAATCAGTAGTTGATGCAAATGAAGAAAAAACTCCAGAACAAATCATGCAAGATAAGGAAATTGAAGCTAAAATTGAAGACCTGGAAAATGAAATTGAAGATGTGAAAATTGCTTTTGAAATAAAAAAGCTTGCATTAGACAGGATGCAACTTTCGACTGCACTTAAAAAAAACCTGGAGAAGATTAACCCCAAGACTAGTGTGCTCATGGATAACATGAAACACGTATTAAAGCTAAACAAATTAATAATGAAATCACAACAGGAATCTTGGGATTTGGAGGAAAAACTACTTGATGTTAGAAAGAAGAGATTACAATTAAAACAAGCTTCAGAAAGTAAGCTTTTAGAAATACAGACTGAAAAGAACAAACAGAAAGATGATTTGGCCAGTATGGAAAATTCAGACAAGATAAAGACCATACAACAAAACCTGCAGATGGAGATACAAATTACGACAGTTATTCAACATGTGTTTCAGAACCTCATTTTAGGAAGTAAAGCCAATTGGGCAGAGGATTCTGCCTTTAAGGAAACTGTTCTACAGCTTGAGAAGAATCTCACCATGATGTAATAAGAATTCTGTTTTGTTATTTTTTGTTTCAGTCTTTAATATGTCATTTAAATAGCAAATTTAAAGTAAAATTTTTATTTAGTGTTTTTGGAACTAATATTGCAAAGTTTTTGTAGCTTAACACTATAACATGGAATTTGTTCTTTCAACTATGTTAATTAAAGTGACTGGCATTCTCTAAAAGAATCTGAAAGTCTTAGCCTTGCAAGGGCCCCGAAAGACATCTAATCTAGCTTTCCACTGAATGTGGACACTTTTTCTACAACATTTCTGGCCGTCCCAACTCTTATTTGGAATACTTCTTTTTTTCTTTTTCTTTCCTTTTTTCATTTCTCTTTCCTCCTTCCTCCCTCCCTCCCTTTCTCCCTTTCTTTCTTTTCTTTTCTTTTCTTTTCTTTTCTTTCTTTCTTTCTTTCTTTCTTTCTTTCTTTCTTTCTTTCTTTCTTTCTTTCTTTCTTTCTTGTTTCAAGTTTTTATTTAAATTCCAGTTAGTTAACATATAGTGTAATATTAGTTTCAGGAGTAGAATTTAGTGATTCATCACTTACATATAACACCCCAGTGCTAATCACAAGTGTCCTCAATACCCTTCACCCATTTAACCCATCCCTCCACCCCCATTATTTGGAATACTTCTGTGCATTTGTCAGTCAACTAAAATATTAGAAAAATTAGAAAAGGGTATCCACATCCTGATGTGTTTTCAACTATCAGTTGTTTTTTATTGAAATAAATCTCATTTTAGTTTTATCTCAAAAAAAAAATTGATCATGAGATTTTCAGGTTGAGATGTGCTGTGTGAAATATCCATCAGATTTAAAAGACTTAGAATGAAAAAGGAGTACAGAATATTTCACTGATAATTTTACATTGCTTACATATTGAGTTGATAATTTGTATATATTGGATCAAATAAGATACTTTATTAATATCATTGGTTCTTTTTACTTTTTTAAATGAAGCTACTAGAAAATTTAAAATTATATTCTGGCTTACATTGTATTTCTAGTAGACAGCACTGCTCTAGATGTCTTTTTTTTTTTTTTTTTAAGATTTTATTTATTTATTTGCCAGAGAGAGAGAGAGAGCACAAGCAGGGGGAGCGGCAGGCAGAGGGAGAAGCAGGTTAAGCACATGCTTAACCAACTGAGCCACCCAGGCACCCCTGCTCTAGATGTTTTAATGATGAGTGCCCACTGCCATCTTCAGCTACAAAAATAATCACACAGCAAAGGAACTGTAGTGACTTTCACCGTTGAGATTTAATGTTCCAATTAAGTGGAGGCTATAAGTGGGATTAATGGGAGATACAAAGGCAAATCCTGGCCTGGGTGCTACAGGGCACCATGCCCACTTCTCCGCCCTCCTGTCCTCAAGTGCCCTCTCGGCAGGCCCTGGATGCCCATGTACTGCTTCACTTTCTAAGGGAAAGGAGGTAAAGCTCTGCAGGTTCCCTGGTCAACTTCTGGTCTCCCCTTTTCCTTGTCCCCTCCCTGCCCTTCCTACTCTACCTACCACCAATCTCCTCTGGAGAAACATAGGAAAGAAACTTAACTCTTAAGCTGGGGTTGGCAAGCTTTCACTGTAAAGGATCAGAGAGTGAATAATTTAGGCTCTGTGGCCAGAGTCTCTGACACAACCATCCAATTCTGCTGTTGTAGTGGGAAAATAGCCTTAGACAACATACAAATAAATGGGTAGGGCTGTGTTCCTATAAAATGTTAATTTATGGACACTGAAATTAGAATTTCATGTAGTTTCCCCATGTCTTGAAATAGTCCTCTTCTTTTGATTTTTTTTTTCAACACTTGCAAAATATAAAATCCATTCTTAGCTCATGGGCCATACAAAAACAGCTTGGCAGGATTTGGCCCTTGAGTCCGGATTTGCTGATCTTTCTCTAAAGCGTAAGTGAAGACTCAAATGTAATGAATTTCCCTTTGGGGAATATTGGGGCAGAACCATCTTTTCATTCCTTCACCTTACAGCTCAGTCCCAATCAATAGAAGTGCTCATTTCTCTGCCTGAGTGACTGAAATTTCAGGAGTCCTATCAAGGTAGGAATGTTAAACACAAAAATCATAAGACCTGCACAGCAAGAGGGACCTCTGTGCTGTAATTGCTCTCAGGCCTGGGAGAGAAGGCTCCTTGTCCTGAGTCCTGTACTTTAAAGGGCCTGCTTGGGTCCTAGTCTGGCTTTGCCCTTCCCAGGAATTGAAGAATCCACAGGATAATGAGGACCTGCCTACTTTCCATGCTTCAGGTCTTGGGACCCCATAATTCCCTGCCCAAGTGACCTCAAGACTACTTTTATGCTGGTGTGGCCTCTTCCCTGGGCCAGTTCTCCAGTGCACAGACCACATTGCCAACGTGCTAACACACCTGGACCCAAGGGATGGCCAAGGGACAGCTGCTTGCAAGGTGCAACAGGGCTTGGAAGCCCGGGGTAGGGTTTGTGTGCGCTGGGGGTGAGTGAGAAGGAAAGGGGCTGGGCCCGGGATACAGGGCCAGGGACAGCTTCTTCTCTCTGGCCATATGAGGCATAGAATTCTAAATTTAAACCCGACTTTCCAGGTAGTTATGAAGGTATATTTGTTACGGCAGCAGGATAAGACATATTTTAATTAGCCATGTGTTCGTTTGATTTATAACTTAAATATTGAGATATAAAATATGTGGACCTCCGTTTGTACACTCACCCTAAACTCTGCAAATGTTAAGAGTAGGCCTGTTTCTACAGTGAAGATTTAACTTTGAAATGGGAGTACAGGGTGCATGCGAGTCAGTAGTGATAAAGCTGGCTTGTTCTGGCTGGTGAGAGCCCTGTTGTGTATTTTTCCCAACTCTGTGTTCTGTGATGCCACAGGGGTACCTTGAAGTCAGCCAAAGAGGAGTATTTATACTGTGGAAATGGCAAATGTTGCAAATCAGAGCTTTTTTGTTTGTTTTGAGAACTGGTTGTTAAACATTTACCAGCACACCTCACACTGTAACTGCCTGCTGTCTGGAACAGAGCCTCCTTATCCCTTCCTCACCCCATATAGAATCTCTCCTCGTTTCCTATCCTGAGGACAGCAGACGCAGAGAGATTCCCTTCTAGAGATGTGTTCAGCAAGCAGGTGTGACTGTGAAGGAGCATACGGAATCATTCACTCATTTGTAAAGATTTCTGAAACACGCCAAGTGCATGCTTGTCCTGAGCCACAGGTCTGAGCAGAACCAGGCTGAGTCTCAGAGCTTCATCTCCAGAGACGTCCCACTTCAAACTGTTGCAACTGATTTTTGATCAGCTCCAGCAAGACGTGAACATTCCCACCCGTGCACCTTATGTGTACAGAATACATCTCAATACAGATAAATGTATAACATTTTCATGGTTAAAATTCAGATAGACATAATTTGCATGGTTCATCTCTGGACTCCTTTCCCTGAAAGGAGCAAAAACTATGGTTTTCTCCTCTTATTTTGCATGCCTACCCTCTGGTGGTAAATTGGGAGAAATACAGGTGGATTCTTCTCAATGCCATAGTTTCTGGAAGACGGGTTCACAAACTCAGCCACCTGCTGGCCTAGGCAGGGAACGCAGAATGAAGGCCGGATGGGAGAAGAACTGGGAGGTGTGGGGTGGACTGGAAGATTCAGGCCTCTTCTAAAAGGGAACGAGCCTACTCTTTCAGGGTCAAAGGCTACCTCTCAGACTTGGAGTCTAGAACAGAGGTCATAGTCTAGCAGCGTACAGACAGATGCCTTTCATTTGGCCTTCATAGTGTTTCAAAGCAGTTGCATACATTAAAAAAATTTTTATTTCCAGCTTTTTGGTAAATATCTGAATGTTGGGCAACCCTGAGTTCACACTGTCACATGGCAACAATCCAGCGATATAATGATTGTTAAGAGAAATTTTGAAGATGGCAAATGATATTCAAGAGCAAGTTACTGTGATTTTCCCAAAGCAAGAATTATCTCTACAACCCCCCCAAAAGTTATGGCCTTATATTTTATGCTTTACAAGTTCTAGAAATAGGGAATCCATTATTTTTTATTTGCTTTCAATTTTTCATTATGTATTATTTCATATAGAGTCACACATATGCATATTATAAGGTATATAGAATAATGAAATAAACGGCCTTTTCTCCGCCATCTATCTTAAGAAATAAAATAGTACCAATACTTTTGAAAGCTGCCTGTGTCTTATTCCAGCTGAATCTTCTCTCTGCACTGAAGGTAGATGCCACTCTGACCGTTGATTTTATCATTCCCTTGCTAAACTCTTAGTTATTCTGAGATTTATTCTAATAATTCATTTATTGTCACTTGGGGTTTTTCTATGCAGTCATTTCATTTGAAAAAATTAAGTCCTATTTTTTTTCTTTCTAATCCTTATATATTTCATTTTTCTTGAGTTTTTGTACAGATTAAGTTCTCTGATTCAATGTTGCCAAGAAGTGGTAATAGTAGGGCATCCTTATTTTATTCCTGATTTTAAAAAATGCTTCTGTTTCATTATTAACTATGATGTTTGCTATAGGTTTTGATAGGCACACTTCAGTAGGTTAAATAAGTTCTCTCTTATTTCTAATTTGCTAAGAATCACAATTATGAATTGGTATTGAATGTGATCAAATGAACTTTTTCTGCAACTATTAAGGTGATCATAGGTTTATCTTTAACTTATTAGAGGGATTTTCAAACTTACACAGAAACAGAGAGGATGTTATCATGAATTATCATGACTTATCATCTAACTTCAACAATGATCGATTTCCCGCCATTCTTACACTGTCTCTTCTCCCTACTTTTTTTTTGTTTGAGTGTTTGGAAAGTAATTCCCAGGCGTCATGTCATTTAATCTGTAAGTACAGTAGTGTGTACCTCTAACAGGTCAGGACTTTTAAGAACATCCATGACATGAGAGACTATGGACTCTGAAAAACAAACTGAGGGTTCTGGAGGGGAGGAGGGTGTGAGGATGGGTAAGCCTGGTGATGGGTATTAAAGAGGGCACGTTCTGCATGGAGCGCTGGGTGTTATGCACAAACAATGAATCATGGAACACTACATCTAAAACCAATGATGTAATGTATGGTGATTAACATAACAATAAAAAATTAAAAAAAAAGAACACCCATTACAACCCCCCCCCCACCAATAATAATTCCTTAACATCACCTAATATTCAGGCTGACTTCAATTTTTCCTGATTTCCCAAACTATTGTAATTTTACTGTTGGTTCATTTAACTAGGGTGCAAAAAAGTGCATAATTTCATTTGGTTAATGTTTCTTTTCTTTTTTTTCCTTTTGTCT